CTGTCATAAAAACACCCCCACATAAAGATACCTCAAGACAAATGCTGGGCATAGAAGCCACAGGGCATAAATCTGCAAAGAAATAAAAAGCTAACGTTTTCAAACAATATGGCTTCTCTCTCACTTACCAACTTTACATCTCCCTGTATGGCCCGGAAGATGACTGGTTAGCCAGAGACGGGTAAGATTCCTCAAGGGAGGAACAACCTAAGACAGGCACAGTCGCAGGGGGGCCATCAGGTGAGAAACTGGGGATCAACAGTGGTGAGGCTTAGAACCTCACCCCCCCTGTTTTGAGAGAAATCTGCATCTGTGGATGTTTTAATGCCCTTGTCTAGCTTGGATTAACACATAGTCTACAGGCACACACCTGATCATCTACATGTGCTCTCTTACAACAACAAAACTATGTTTTCTACCTTTATCTTGCATCTACCTACCACTTCAGCATTTTATTAAAAATAAAAATAATAATAATAATAAAGGGAGAAATGTGGGATCCACATATAAATCAAGTATAAAAATCAAACAAGTATTCATATTTGACCTGATTGTTTATAGTTCATAATGCATGATCAAAACTGAAAGTTTCTGTGATGACTGACTGCCCTTGTACTGTTCACCATGTAAGAACTTATTCACTATGTAAGAATTTGTTTACCATGTAAGAACTTGTTCATTAAGCTTCAGAAGACTGGAGAGTGACGAGAATTAGGCTTGGGGTGGATTAATGATTGTGCATTGAGCATTGACTCCCCTATACAGAATTTTATTATTGTTAACAACCATTTGATCAATAAATATGAGATGCCCTCTCAAAAAAAAAAAAATAAAAACCCCACGTAATTACTATAAATTCTATTTTTAATATTTAAACACCCAAAAAACTAAAGACAAAATCTCAGCATAAAACAGTCCTTTAAATTGATAAATTTGATTTTATGAAAAGACTAATAACATTGTATTTTCACATTTCATCATAGACAGATGAGAACTTTTCAAACATCTTGACCCAGAGGACCTGGACATTTAAATGGGATGTTAGTTACTTTTTCCACTCAGGTAAGTTAACAAGCAGTTCAGATGAAGCTATATTCATCTGAAATTAACACTTGTAGATCTCAAAATGCAAGAACCAAAGAAAAACAAGACAAAATATTAAATATACTTGCAATTCAAAATAGAAAATTAACTCGCTACTTGAAAACAAAATAAAACCAAACAAAACTCTGCCTCATACCTATCCTGCTCCAACAACCAGCTTTGAAAACCAGTACCATGAACAGAATGACATTTGGCATTTGAATTCTTATTCTGTCCAGTAATAAGATGGTTATCTTGAGCATGTGGCTTAACCTAAACCTCAGTTTCCTTATCAGTATACTGCAAAAATAAATGAGGAAGTTTTAACTGAGGTCTCAGGAAGCAGTGCTCCTGGAAGTATAGCTTGCAGGCCACCATAGGTGCCCACTGCTGGCTCTGCACCAAAACAGGCACAGAGAACAAGCACTTAGAGCATCTGATAGCAACCGGACAGAGTTAACATTTGTTGAATCTAGCAATAAAAAATCTGTATGTTTTTTTTCATGTTATTCTCCTAGTAATCTAATTTTTTCTAGTAATAGTTCAAGTATTTTACAAGAGTGGCTTTAGAAAATACTTACAGATACATATATATACCAACTATATCTCAATAAAGCTGGGGGAAGAAAAGAAATGATCTCCAACAGCTTGGGGGGAAAAAAACCTACCTGGATAGTTCGAGAAGCACTGATATCAGCATCTTACTGAGCGTTGAGCACAATGTAAGAACTCTCAAAATATTAATTTCCTCTCTTATCTACTGAACTCAGTCATTGCAGCCCTAAGCAAAAGATAATGCTGCACAGGAACAGCGGTGGTGCTAAAGCAATTTTGTTGCAGAAATAAAACCCACCTAATAAAGAAAAAAAAATGTAAAAGACAAATTGGGACAAGCTCTAATTAAGTGATATTGAAAAAAATTCTGGGAAAACAGGGTTCTTTTCAGGTTAAAGTGGCCAAGGAGGTTTTACCAGAGGAAACACGCTCAGATTCAACTCTCTGAGGGCGGCATGGGATTCAGGCAGCTGGGAAGAGGGCATTTAGGCAGAGAACTGTCAGAGCAAAAGCAAAGAGGGAGCCACTGTGAACAGATGAGTCTAACAGGAAAGCAACAGGAAAGGGGGTTGGAAAGGGCTTCATGGGAAAACCTTGTCTTTGTCTATCAATTCAAGGATTTAGAACATAAACCATGGAGACGATGAAGATTTCTGAGCTGAAAAACAGAATGATCAAACTGGGGTTGCACAAGCAGTATCTCATACTGTAGTATCAAATCGCTGTATGCCCCACTCCTTGGGGTCTCAGATCTTTTTTCCTTTCACTGCACGCACCCAGCAAAAGAATCCAAACTCAATAAATGCAACCATCTGCTTTCTAGACCCCTGGACCTAATCCTTGCTCAGATTGGCTGAAGCACACAAAACAATGCTACATAATGACGCACAACTCCTGTGTTGTCTCCAGCGAAAGCATGGCCCTTAGCCTTGCCCACAAGTTTTTTAGTGTTCCTGGTCCACTCCCTCATTTCTTTCCCAAGGAACACGTTTCTAATTTCCACCCCTTTACTCCACTGCTTTCCTCTGACCCCTTCCTTTTAGGAACACTGAAATCAACTGACAAATCTCTCAACTTTCTCCACCTAAGTATGAAAACATAGGTATTTCAAATGCCCACCCAGACTTCTTTGCTTCTGATCTAAACCTTCCATTTGCAATCAATCAATTGCCTCCTGTCCTGGTTGGCTTTCTCATTTGTTTCCAATCTTCTCTTTTTACTGGTCCCACCCCCATATAAATTGCTCAAAGTTCTTCCATTTGAGAGAGAAAAATTATATAAAACAAACCTTTCCTCAGCCCCATCCTGGCTGCTCCTCTCTGTGTACTGATGTCCCACTAGCCTTTGTCTTTAGTCCTCTTCACACAGCCTATGTGGGCAAACTCATCCCTCCCATATTTTCAACTACCATCTCCAAGTGCTCAGCCAGCAAATCCCACGTGTTTCACCAATAACTAGAGTTCTCCATCTCTGTCTTGTAGATGCCTCACACTCCCCATGTCCAAAGTGGAACATCTGTCCCCCAAGTGTCTTCACTTCTACTTTGGATCTCTCAGAGGCTGACACCATCTTATCAGTTAATTACATAAGAAACCTGGGAGTCATCCTAGATACTTTGGATAATTGACACAAACTGATTTTACTTCCTTAAACTCTCTTATTCAGCCTCTGTCCCTCTCTATGGCTACTTAGTCCAGGTCCTGGGCATCTCTAGCTTAGCTTACTCAACTGCTTCCTAACCTCTTTCTCTGCCTTCAGTCTGGTTCTCTTAAATCTATCCCCAATATGGTTACCATATTTGGCCACATAACCACCCCGCTTAAAACCCTCCAATGGATATGTAAGAAATTTTATAGTGATTGTCTATGGGGAGAACAGGGGCTGGGGGAATCCACGGTGGGGGAAATACTTACCCTTCACTTAGCCTTATCTGGATTGTTTACCATCAATGTGCACTGCTAATGCAAAGCTGAAGCCTCAATGGCCCCAAAGCCCGCAATACAAAGTCCTGCATGATCTACCTGCTGCTCGCCTCTCTAGGGGCTCTCAAGGCAGGCCTCTGCCCCCAATACCTCGGTGTCTGTCCACTCATTTTTTACCACTGCCCAAATGGCACATCCTCCTGACTTCTCCACCCAGAACAGACCTCTCCTTTGTGTCTATTTTGTGTCATAGGCATCCATCATGACATTTACAGCTCATGTCACAGACAAACTTAAACAGATTGTTTAAAATGTCTGTTCCCTCCATTAGCCTTAGATTCCCTGAGAGCAGGAACTGTTTCTTATTCACCTTTGAATTTTCGGAGTCTAGTTACTGAATCAAAATGTACAGGGGTGGAGCTTGAACAAGTGTTTTGAAAATGCCGGTCAGGTGATTCTAACTCAATCACCTGTTAAAACTGCTCCTTGAGATCAGCAGTCACTGTGACCAGAACAACATAGACTGTCAATAAACAGTTTCTAAACTTAAGTAGACAAGTTGCGAAGATGAGGGAGGAAAGGTTGGGGCTGGAGGTTTGGTGTGTGAAGTTGTGGTTTACTCAAGAGAGTCTGCAGTGAGAGGGGTAAGAAGTCAGGCAGACTGCTTTGTCACCCTGTGACTGCAGAAGGCTCATTTAAATGTGTTTCCTTCCAGACTGTGAGTTCCTTGAGGGCAGGAACCCTGACCTGTTCATCTCTGTCCACCTGGCACTGAGTGCAGTGCATGGTAAATGTCAGGAGCTCAGGAACCTTGAATGAGTTGGTATTAGTGATGATAACAGAAGTACAATACTTCAAGGACACAAAAGAAAAAGTGACAACTTTGGCTTGGGAGGCTGGCAATAGAGGTCTTCGGAGGGACAACTGACCTCAGTCCTGGAAGTTCATTTGGTAAACAGCGAGAACTTCAAGCAGAGAGAACAAGAGGAGCATAGGTACCCAGGCACGAGAGGTCAAGGCAGATAGAGATACGCCCTTTCCACGTGGCTGGGGGTTAACCGCGTGCGATAGGTAAAACGTTAGGGAGCTTTATAAAGTCAGACTGAGACTGTCGGTGCTAGGCTGCAAAATGTCACGGACGCCCGCCTAAGGATTTAAGCATGACTGGGTAGCCAAAGAAGAGTTTTACAGTTACTCAGAAATGACTAGACTGACTTTTGATTTTTAGAAGGGTCACCAGTGGCAGCCCAGAGGGAAAAGAATGGACACTCAAGGGAAGGAGCTTAATTAGCTGCTGACGGTCCAGCTAACAAACCCAAGCAGAGGCTGTATTCTCCGTCTTACGCCCGAGGGTAAAGTGAGAACTCCCTTGCATAAAAACCCAAGATTTAAGTCAAGGGACCATGAACTCCGCCCACCAAACTGAACACCTGTGTTTACCGGATCTGATCTGGACCGGGAGCTCGAACGCGCAGCTGGGATGTGCAGACTCCCGGCACACGGTCTTTCCGGGATGCGAGCCACTCTCCGCGACAGCCCCACCCCGCGCGCGCGCGCGGGAGACAAAGGGGCGATGATTGCGCGTGCGCAGCTAAAGCACGCGCCCCATCCTCTGCCTCGTGGACTCTACGTAGGACGTGGGAGCTGCGCGTGCGCACCTAGGGGGCGCGCACCGCCCTAGCCCCCGCCTTTAAACCTCTGGCGGGAAAGGGGGCTCCGTGCCCCTACGAATGTCCCCCGGCTGCGCCCGGACTAGGTGCGCTTCCAGCCCTCTGGCCTGCGCTCCAACTCACCCGCTTCCCCCGGCCCTCTGGATCCCGGCGGAGCCCGCAGCCCTCCTAGCTCGGTCGCAGCCTTTGCCGCCACCGGCTCGGCAGTACCAGCCCCGCCTGCTTTAGGAGTGGGGCGGGGCGTCGGGGCTGGTCCACGGCCCGAGGGGACGGGGTTTGCTGGTGAAGTAAGGAGGCGGGAAGCAAGTGCAAGTGCTGTTGATTGAGCCGAGCCCCTACACTGCGCCAAAAATCACAGCGCTATAGACTTTCTGCTGACTTAGGGCAATAGGAACCGTGAAAGTCCGACTGGAGGTGAATTTCCAAACATTCTTCCCCTTCTGCCAGTCAAGTGGATTATTCCAAAGTCTTAAATGCTTAGAAAATTAGGCTTTATTTGGGAGGAAGTGGATAGTTAAGCTACTTTGAAGAGTGGTCTTTTTCGGGGCTGGGGGGTCTGACTCGCTAAAGATAACACATTTAAAGCTTGAGGAGTATGCAGGAGGCCCCTAAAAGGAAGAGACCTATAAATTGATCACAATAAATATTCCCTGCTAAGTGGATGGTCTCCTCTGGCCTCTGCTGAGATGAGTGTATTTTCCCAACAACAAAAGATAGGGCTCAAATGAGGAATTATCTCCCTAATTATTAAGAATTTGAATAGAAGGAATCAATTTCTGGGATATGAGAATTAGAAGAGATTTGCTGCAGATTAAAGGACAGATGAGAGAAAAGTGAGAAGATCCACATGGAAAAGGAAAATAAAGAAGACAATAAAACGTGATAATAGCGGAAAGATGCCATTGAAGAGTGTTTTTGATCTGCTCTAACTAAATATAACTGGTCAAAGCCTCTCCCTTCTCTGACTCCCCATCCCCACCTCTGCCTTTGCTCCAGGCATCAGATTTCATCTTTTGGCCTTAGGGAACTCTTCTTGGGTTTGAGTACCACCTGAGTGGAGGCCCCACCCGGGGATGTCAGGCGAACAGTTAAGCGAGGTAATTTTTCTGGATTCTAGGCTCACCCACCCATTTTTCAGATTGGGAGCTTGCTGGCCCAGGGCCTCCAAAGAGATCCATCATGCCAGAATGAATACAAAACCCAGCTAGTGGATGTAGACAGATTTATGTGGCTTTATAGAACAGTTCAAACCCCAGTGTTTACTTTTCTCAGAGCTACTGCTCCATCCAAGCCCCGGGACAAGCTTCCCTAAAATAAGTAGATTGCACTCTCCCATTAATGTCTGCAGAACAGTTTGGTACAGTAGCATCCTGATCTGGGGCTGGTACCTCCATTTCCTCTCTCTCTCTACCCCCAAACCCTTCTCTCAATCCTTGGAATGCCTTGTCTCCTTCCCTCCTTTCCATTTCTGCCTCCTGTGATGAGAACTCTCTGCTTTCCTGCTCCCTCAGAAACCTAGAACCAGACGCTTGACTGGCAACAGGGTGAAGACCAGAAACTTAAGGTCTTGGTTCCCTTTGCTCACCACACTGAATTGGGAGAGGAAGGCATAAGAGAATACCTTTTTTGCTTTCCTTCCCTCTCATGCCTTTCCCCAAAACTCAGACACAGCCATTTTTACTCACATCCATACGCACAATCGTGTACACACAGTAGTGAAGAGAGGTGGGTTGGGGAGGAAGGGAAGTTTGCGCCAACCAGCTGATGACTGCAACTTGAAAGATTTCACACAGCAAAAGGAAAAAAAACCCCAACACACACACACACACACACACACACAAATTAAAAAATTAAGTTCATGCCCTTCCCCTCAGTCTCTTTCTTCATCCAGGAGCTGGCTCAGCCCTTCCACATAAACCCAGAAGCTTACTACTCGAATTATCCAACCGGAACTTTACAGAGGCTGAGTCTTCAGTTCGACAGGTTCCCCTGTGCCCTCTGGTTGTCCATTGGAGTCACTGGGCCTGGCACCCTTGAGAATAGACAGTCTCTCAGAAACACTCTTGAGCCGGGGGAAGAGGAGAAAGTCGTAAAGGAGACTGCCCAGGCCCCCTCCAATGACGGGGCCCAGCCAGTATACCTGTAAGAAGAAAGGAGTGAACAGGCTTGAGGACATGACCAAGAGCAAGGCCGCTCTTTCTCCAACCACGTCATAGGAGAACAGACATCTGCCCTTGGCACATCAAAGTGAGCACTGTTAAGTAGAAATCAGTGTTTGTTTGTAAATTCTAGACGCCTCCACTGTCTGCACCTCAAACTAACCATTTCTTTTCTGATCATCAGATTATTTCTTCAGTCCCTCACCTTCTTAGCACATGTGTTTGCTGTTTGTTGTCATTTTGCACTAGTTTTTATATTGCTTTGAAAAAATTTGTTTTAATTTTGGTAAAATACACACATTTTTAATGTACAGTTCAGTGTGTTAAGTATATTTGCATTGCTGTATAACAGATCTCCAGAACTTTTTCATCTTGCAAAACTGAAACTCTATTAAACAACTCATTTAACTCTCCCTAGCCCCTAGCAACTACCATTTTGCTTTGTTTCAATTACTTGACTTTTCTAGATATTTAATATAAGTGGAATTATACAGTATGTGTCTTTTAGTGACTGGTTTATTTTACTTAGCATAATGTTCTCAAGGTTCATCCATGCCATAGCTTGTCTCAGAATGTCCCTTTTAAAGGCTGAATACTATTCCTCTGTGTGTATATACTATATTTTGTTTACCTTTCTTCTGTGGGGACACTTGGGTTGCTTCCACCTTTTGTCTATTGTGAATAATGCTGCTATGAACATAGGTGTTTTGAAACAGCCTTGAAATAAAAATACATATATTTTCATATGTTTCACTGGCATATGGCCAAACCACACAAATAGTTTTTATTGAGGACCTATTCCATGTCAGTTCTATTTTATATTTCTCACATATAGCTTTCATACTAATTTCTCACAATAATCCATTTTATAGTAAGGAAACTGAGGTGTAGAATGATTATTTACCATGGTCACACCTGAGGCCAGCAAAGTGCTAGAACTTGGATGAAACCCATGCCCACTTATGCTCATACAAAGCCTGGCCCCTGAGAATAGAAGTTTTTGTCTTCCTGTTCTGTTGTCTGTCCTCATAGCCCTAGTTTTGGAATCCAGCAGAAACTGTAAAAATCCCTGACTAACCAGTGAAGGAACAATTTGGGCAAGATTCTCTCTTTCTAGCAAATAATGAATCCTGGTCTCACAGGCATGCCAAACTCTGTGCCAGCCACCTTAGCTGAGTGCCGGTAGAGCAGTCACACATGCAAATGGAAAACAGGAACCAAACCTGTAAAGGGCAGTCCACACCCATGTAGGAGAGCTTCAGGATCTTGCCCCTCCCCTTCACTCACCCAGTGGTTGGTGAAGTTTCTGGTGAGAATGGCAGGAGCGAAGGAGCGGGCAGGGTTCATGCCTGCACCGGTGTAATACATCTGTAAAAGACATGGTTGTAACTGAGATGCTTCCCACCTTCACCCCCGTTTCTCTCCCCACAACCCACATGCCCTGGAGGGCTGGCATCTTGCCTCCAGCCAGCGGCAAGCAGGGAAGGACAATGTGCCTGGGGTTCCCACAGTGGGGTGAAGGCAAAGATGTCCCCTCTGGGGACAGACTATGGATCCACAGACAAAGCCCACACCGACCCACGATGCGTGCATTTCCACCTGAGGATCCAGAAAGACTAGGTATAGTGGTTAGTATACCTAGAGAGGAAGAGAGCAGGGTTAGGTTGATTCCTCTGCACTGACTGTTACAGAGTTAAGTGCATAATGTTCATATTTGACAGTGAGGTGGGGTAGGAAGGACCCTTAAAAATCAGGAAAGGTTCAAGTGCCCTGATATCCTTAAATGAGAAGGTGCTCCCCTCTCCTGCTTACCCCAAAGAGGTGCCCCAGGGTGAGGGAGAAGCCAACAGCTAGGGCCACCGAGCCCAGACGGCCATTCCGCCTCTCGTCATACGTTGCAAAGACACAGAGCACGAACTGGAGTGTCAGGAAGATCTCCACCATGGTGGCCTGGCCCACACTCACCCCAGGGTGCAACTGAGCAAAAGAAGAACAAGGCAGGCATCTCATTAGGCTGCCATGGCATTACATTCTCAAGGCTTCCCAAGCAGACCCTTATAGCATGAGTTCCCTGGAGAGGAAGGCTAAGACAACCCTCTTCAGAGTAATTATATTTGTTTCTTAGTTTCTCCTGTTAATACTCCTTAATGGTGGAGATAACTGCACCCCCTTATGAGAATGAAGAAACTGAGGCCCTGTGGGAGAAAATTAGTTTCCTCAAGGACCTGCAAGGAGTTAGAAGGAAAGCTGAGACCCAAACTCAGGTTTCTTAAGGCTCAATACTAGGGTCTGTGCCTTCCTTACCCCTCCAAACCACTTGTTGATCCTCCCCACTCTGAAACACCACACACACACACACACACACACACACACAAAATGTCCCAGACCCCTGAGGAACTGATCCACCTGCACCAGGCAGGGAGAGTCAGGGCACCAGGTCCCCCCAGCCCACCGTTACCGCATTAAGTGCTAGGTTTCCTCTGATGGTGGGTGGGGTAACGCTATACAGAACAGCAGCCCCTGCCACAGCTCCCAGGAGTTGGGCTGCCATATAGCAGAAGGCTCGGAGCAGAGACATCTGAGAGCCCACAAGGAAGGCAAAAGTGACTGCAGGATTGACGTGGGCTCCACTGATGTGGCCTACAGTCTGCACCAGAGTAGCCAGGGCCAGGCCAAAGGCCAGAGCCACCTGAAGGACATGGGGGTGTCCAGGGGCCCAGCGCAGTGAGGCCCCCAGCCCAAAGAAGATATAAAAGAGGGTGGCAAAGAACTCAGCAAATATGGCCCTCCAGAAGGAGGCTGACCGCAGTTCCCACATGGCAGGGGGGTGCACAGTGCCTGGGTCCCTGATAACCCCCAGCCTGATCTGGGTGGACAGTCCCCTTTATAGAGGACTCTTAATCCCTGGGAGGGGCAGGTTGAGATGGCTGGCCCAGCCTTTTAACCCCTTCACAGCTGCAGAGGGCTAGCCCACTTTTATGCATCTGATAAAGCTGCTGAATTTCCTTTCCCTGCTCACCTGGGAGATGAGCAGAGCCATGGGTGTAAGGGTGGGGGTAGGGTCAGGACTGGAGAGGCTCTGAAAGGAAAGGCCCAAGAACAGAGGACTGGAAGTGTCAGCCTTTCTTTTCATGTCAAAGTTGGGGTTCATAGGACTAATTGACATTTCTATAGAACAGTTCTCTCCTGGGAAGCCCAGTCAAGCTGAGTTCACTTTATGGAATATGAGACTGTGCTCCTGGGAGCCTCCAGGCTTCTCTGAGTTGGCTGGGGGCAAAAGTTGAGGTGGGGGTCAGGAGTGGGGTCCAGCAGGGAAGTTGGATAACTGAAGAGAACTCTTTAGTTCCCAGGGATTAGAGAGACTTCTCTCATTGGCGGGTTGGACTGGAATCTGTGGACCCTGCAGCTTTGGGACAGAATAGTACTGCTGCATCTGGCTTTTTCCAAGCCCAGATTCCCCACCGCCAACCCGTGCCAGCACCTCCCTTTCCAGCCTCAGTCCGGCCTTCTAAACCACAGAGATAGACAAGGGAAAGAAGCTACCTTCCGTGGATAGGCTGAGAGTGGAGTTGGGGAACTGGGGAGGGGAAAGGGGTCAGTAGTTAAATCTCAGAATCAGCTTGTACTTCATCTTTCCTGACTCACAATGTCCTGGCAGGAAGTGCTGAGAGGAAGGAACTGAGTTGTGGTTAGGAGGCCAGGAAGGTCTGATGCCTCCTGATGTGGCTGTGATCGGGACCCTGAAGTCCTGAGCCTTTTGATCCTAGGGAAAGGTCTTGGGGCCAGGATGTCTGGAGAAACAGGCTGGTCAAAGAGAGAGAAAAGGACACAATGGGGAAGGCAAGCCTGGGGACAGAAGGTCAGCTGTGCCCAGGCTTGGTAAGGGGTGGATACCTAGGGGTGGGGGCTGTGTGGTGGTGGGGAGGGTGGTATGGGATGCGCTGTAGCCACATGGGCCACAAGCTTGTCCTCTGCGCACCAGAAGAGGATACAGATTAACAGAGAGGCCTGTAATATTGGTGCCCAGCATTGGTCCGTCCAGTACACCTTCAGAGAGAGAGGAAGAACCCAGATCAAGGCTGGTGCTCCTCTCCTCCTCTGATACCCAGCTTGGAGACTAACAGGAAGAGTTACAGTAAAGGTGACAAGTTCATCAAACCCATCCACAGGCAGGAAGAAGGGCTGGGAACAGGTTAGGGGGAACCAAGGGGATTGGAACTCCCAGTGTAATGGGAGAAGAACAGCCTGTCAGAGGTCTTAGAGTTTCTTGGGTTCCGGAAGTCCCACCACCTCCTGACTTCAGGAGATGTGACCCTCGCCCCAGTGACTCTCCCAAATCCCAACCAAGCAGGGTTCTTGCTGCTTCTGAGAAAGGACCCCAAGATGAGAGACAGAGGTACATCATGGCATTAGGGGCATAGACTTTGGCAACAGGTACTTTGGTTCAGATGAGGGTGAGGACACAAATGCTGGTTGAGTACAATTGGGATCATAACTTTGGACACAGTATAGCACCACCTGGTAAAGAACAAACACAGACTTTCTGACCCAGAAATTTAATCTCTCACTTACACACCCAAGAGTAACTTTTCTGGACCTACACCAGGATACAGATACAATGCTTAGAGCAGCCCTGCTCACAGCACCAAAAACGCGGAGCGGCTCCTATGCCCTTGAGAGGAGAATGGATGAGTGAGTGGTAGCAGAGGCACATGATGGAAAAGTATGCAGCCATTAAAATGATGGAAATATCAGTGACACTCAATAGTAGGGAAAAATCTC